GTCAACACTTTGATCAGGCCTGATGGAGAGAAGAAGGCCTATGTTCTACTTGCTCCTGACTATGATGCTTTGGATGTTGCCAACAAAATTGGGATCATCTAAACTGAGTCCAGCGGGCTAATTCTAAATGTAATAAATTTTTCTCACCAAAAAAAAAAAAATCAAAGCCTCAGAGATGACGGGACTCAGCCTACATACCCCTCAATCAGCCTGAGACCAGAAGAAATAGGTGGTGCCCAACTGCCACTACCAGCCGTTATGACCCAAGTCTCTGTAGATGGATCTTCAGAGAATGGGAGAAAAACACGACACAGAAACAAAATTGTTATCATTTAGACATACTGGGCCAGTTGAAACGAGAAGATTCCCTGAAATACTTTCCCTGAGATCTCTTTTTAAACCTGAGGACAGCAGTGAGCCTGGTACACAAAATAAAAGCTCTAACCCGTGAACACAGGGCTCTCTATCTGTCGATCCAAGACCAAAGGGTCTGTGATTGATCTAAACCCAAGATGAGGAGAAAAGGAGGCAGGGAAACTAGAGCACCAGAAACAGAACAACCAGAAAAGGATTAAGGAGGAAGCTCACATTTTGTTACCCACAGTAATGGCAGAAAGTAGATGGATGTGAAAACCATTTTTTTTTCTTCTTTGATCCCTGGAGCTGCGTTAGCAAAGCGTCAAAGATGCAACAGCAGATGTAAGAGATTTGCTTTACAATTTTAAAATAAAAGTATTTGGGGGATTGGAAAGGCATTCTGGTGGCTCTATGCTTAAGCACTCTGTTGCTACAGTGCAAATCTATCAGCTGCTCCCACGGAGAAAGAGGAGGCAGTCTGCTTCTACAGCTTCAGAAGCCCTGTAGGGTGGATCGAGCTTGTTCTAGAGTTGCTACAAGTTGGAATCCATTCAATGTGGCTTTGGTGTTGTTGTTGTTGTTAGGTGCTGTGGAGTTGAATACAACTCATAGTGACCCTACGAACAGCAGATCTGAACCCTGTCCTAACCTGGGCCATCCTCACACTTCTTGACACACTATAGTTCATTGCAGCAGTCACTGTGTCAGTCCACCTGGTTGAGGGTCTTTCTCTCCTTCGCCGACCCTCCACCCTTGCAAGCATCATGTCCTTCTTCAAGGAATAGCCCCTCCTAACAACATGTCCAAAGTATGTGAGGCAAAGCCTCATCATCCTTGCCTCCAAAGAGCACTCTGGCTGCACCCTCTTCAAGACACATTTATTTGTTCTTTTAGCAGTCCATGGTTTGCTAGGAAAGTTATATGATTCAAGGTTGAGCAAATGTTTATGGGCTTTTATTATACTTTTCTCTCTATTTGAAATTTCCCACCAGGAAAAGTTACTCTTCTCAAGAGGGTGGGGAATACCCATCCAGCTGCCAAGCCTCATCAATGCCATGGAATTGATCAGTTTTTAAGCCATAAAAACTGCTCAGTGGCAAAAATGTTTTTTACATTCTTGTTATAATGTTGAGCTCTGGTGGCCTTATGGTTAAGGAGTGGAGTGGTACTGCCAACCCAAAGGCAGGCGGTTCAAACCCATCAACTGCCATCCAGAAGGAGAATAGGCAGTCCCCTCCTATGCAATCTATAGCAATCTGCAGGTCTCGCAGGGAGAAGAAGAGTGGGATCACAGCAAAGAATCCTGGAGTGAGTAGCCACTGGAGGGTCGACCATGAGTCGGTTCCAATTCAACAGCAGTGAGTTAGTTCATGGTTTTGTTTCTTAGAACATTATATGAAAATTTTCTATGCCTTTTTATCACAAAAGAAAAGGAAAATATATGTAAGGATTTTTGTAGCTGGGTTTATGGGGGAAAAGGTTGAGAATCACTTCTGTGTCTGTCAATAAGGGAACAGTGCAAGAGTAAGAGAATGCAGTAGATTAGAATGCTGTTGTTGTTGTTAACAGTTGAGTTGGAACCGACCCATAGCTGACCCTCTGGTGGGTTTTCAGAGACAATTAATCCCACAGGAGGAGACTGCCCATCTGTCTCCTGTGTGGATTAGTATACAGCTGTGAAAATGGTGAGACAACTATAAACAGCCTGAAAGCGAGTGAGTTCTAACAAGTTCATTTAGTAGAATGGCTCAGAGTGCAGAACAGAGCATCCAGCAGGCTATATGATCCACATAAAACAGAAAAGTAACCAATGTGTAACCACTGATGTGGGTCCTTAGGAAACTTCTAGAAGGGGAGGGAGAGAGGGCTGGACATAACCTGCCACCTTACCCTTTTCCCACACCTTCTGGATCTGGTTTTAATGGGACTCACGGGATGGGGTGGGGTCATAGTCTTCAAGAAAGATCTTTGTATTTTGATCTGTTGTTGTTGTTGTTATGTGCCGTTGAGTTACTTGTGACTCATCGAGACTCAATGAACAACAGCTCTGAACCCCGCTGTATGCTGAGCCAACCTCATCTAGTGGAGAGAATAATAAGACCATAACAGAGACCCCTGGGGGTGAGTGGCCCCAGGGGCTGCAATTGTTAATAATAACAATGGTGTATGCTGTGTCATTTTGATAATCCCTGGCAAGACTGAGCAAACACTGACCTGGAAGCTACATGCAAGCTGGATTTGGATCTAACTGCTTCATGCTCGGAGCTCACCTCCCTCCCAACATCCCAAGACATCCCAACATCTCACAAGGTGGGATGATGCTAATAGATCTAAGATCACAGAGCGACAGGGGAATAAGGCACATTAACAGGTACTAGGCCTCATGTTGGTGCATTTACCCTTCCTAACCGCCCTGTGAAGGAGCCCTGCACCTTTGTTAACTGCTTGGCTGCTAACCGAAAGATCAGTAGTTCCATTGCACCAGGCGCTCCACTGGAGAAAGACGTAGCAGTTTGCTTCTGTGAAGATTACAGCCTTGGAAACCCGCTGGGCAGCTCTCCTCCATCCCATTGGGCTGCTAGTATGTACATGAGGTCACACTGGGTTGGAATCGACTGTACAGCAACAAACACCATTCTAGTTATAAGATATGAGTTCTGAACCCTCCCTTTCTGCAGTGGATTCTAGGGAGGAGGAGGGCCAAAACATCTCCCTTTCACTCAGGGTTTCCAGCCTCCGAGTCCTCAGACAGGGATGGGGAGCCACTATCCCTGCATTCTAGTGTATGCTTCTAGAATTTCTTTAGGAACATAACTACATATTCTTCTTTTTGACCCTGTTGTAGGCTGGTGCAGGATCTACAAGCTTAGAGTCAAAGGCTAGATCAGTTCATCAGATGCTTTAGGAAATGAAGTCTTATAAGCAGCTGGCCAGACCCACTCAATTACACAGAGCTCTGTATTGGTGATAGAGAGTGTGCAGGCCAAAAACGTCTGCTATCTGGTCCTTTAATGAAAACTGCTGGGCCCTAGACTAGAAGCAGTGGCCACGCCTGGAACTCTGTGTCTACCATATATACCACATAATCATATAATCCAGAAATCTTGCCATGCCAGGGCACAGGGAGCCCTCTTGTCCTTTTTCACAGCTGTGTAGTACTCCACTGTGTGGAGAGATTTGTGTTTACCTGGCTCCCTCACTGTGAGTTATTTCAGGGGTTTCTAAAGTTTCACGTCTACTAAGGATATCATCCACTTCCTAAACAACACACCTGGAAACTCTATGAACTTTGATAAATGATATAGTTATAGAAAGGCTTCAGGCCTTTTGTTCAGAGGGTCACTATGAGTCGTGCTCAACTCAATGGCAATCAACAAGGACACCACGAAGAGTCCTGGTGGTGTGGTAGTTTAAAGCAGTCACATACAAATCAAAAGGTCAGAGGTTTTGAATACACTTCAGACCCTCCACAGAAGAGGGGTGAAGCAGTCTGCTTCTGTCATGATTTCCAACCTTGGAAGTCCTACAGACCTGTTCCACTGTCCGACAGGGTCACTACAAACTGGAGTTGACACGACAGCAGAGTCTGGGGTTGCATGGTTTACATCTACACATCACACCTCCCACGTCGGCAAGCGTGTTCCTGGGATATATTCACACCAATGGTTCTGCTGAGATTAGATTTCCAAAGCATGAAGGGTAGGACAAAGGATTCTGAGAGTGAATCCTCTAAAAATAAAGAGTGAAGGTGGCAGTCAGGAGGGTATTTTTCTGGCCACCTTCCCTAAGGGGCTGGTGACTGTAGTTGGTCCTGGGAGGTCCAGGGCCCGCGGCCCACGCAGGGCACTCACCGAGGTCATCCGCGAGCCTCCGGCCATCCTCGGTGGGCACCACACGCTCATCCTCCAGGTCACACTTGTTCCCCACGAGGATCACCTGGGCGTTGTCCCAGGAGTATGTCTTGATCTGTGTGGCCCTGGAGAGATTGGGGGCCATGAGCAAGCACTCGGGGTGGTGGTGGGGGAGGGGCAGGGGGCAGAGAAATGAAGTCAGGGGCTCAGTGGGCAGCTGGCACTCACCAGTCTTGCACGGCGGCAAAGGAGTCCTGGTTGGCCACGTCATACATGAGCAGGAAGCCCATGGCCCCGCGATAGTAGGCTGTGGTGATGGTGCGGTAACGCTCCTGGCCTGCGGTGTCCTAGACAGACAGCAGTGACAGAAGGCTGAAACCCATCCTTCATCCCACCCCACAGGGCCCCAGAGGGAAATCACCCTGTGCCCACAGCCACCATTCTGAAGGTAGAGACATAGACCTGCTCCTATAGTGTCCAGTCTGATGATGGAGGCATGGGCCTGCTTCAACTGCATACAATCTCATGAGGGAGGCATGGGCCTGGCCCATATAACCCCAGTCTGATGGTGGAAGCACAGGCCTGCTTACACAGCCCTAGTTTCATGAGAGAGGCATGGGCTTATCTCCACAGCAGCCAATCTGAAGGAGAAGGCCAAAGTCTGCACTCATAGACTTAGTCTGATGGGGAAGGCATGAGCCTGCCCACACAGCCCCTACTCTGGTAAGGGAGATCTGGTCTGCTCATATAGTCTCTAATCTGATGGAAGAGGCACATGCTTGCCCAGACCTGGCTTATCCATACAGTCTGACAGTGGAGACATGGCCTGCCCAGACAGACTTGGTCTGATGGTGGTTGTTGTTACGTGCCGTCGAGTCATAGGCGACTCATAGAGACCCTATGAACGAAAGTCCTGGACACCTGTATAACTTTCGTTCTTTCTCCAGGTTCATAGGGTTTCCAGAGGCAAGCTATTACGGAAGTGGATGCCACTCCTGCTTCCAAACTTGTTTTAATCGGGGAGCGCCACCAAACACTGTCCACCATGGGTAACCATTCTCACATTTGACTCATCAGTGTCACGGTGTTCCACTTCACAGCAACCACGAGTTACCTCTGTACAGCAAGTGGACAGACCAGGGTTACACGATGGTGGACGCATAGATCTATTCTCAAGGCAACAGCTTCCCTACCCTTCTTCTTTTTTTTTTCTCTCTCTCTTTCTTATTCCTCTTTTTATTGTTTTGCATACTTCCCAAGGACTTCATCCTTCAGTATTATTAGTTCTTCATCATTTGCTACTTCCTGAAATGCCTGTTCAGCTGAATTCCCTACCCTTCTATGGAGGAAATTCAGCTCTGTCCTTGATGGGTGCCTAATCTGAAGAAAAATGGTTTCTCTGATTTATAAGCCAAAACCCAGCTTAATGGTTTCCACAAACAAAAGCCATCTGAGCCGGAGGGTGCCGTCTTGAACACACTGGAGCTGTGTTACCAGGACAATGGTTCTGGAGACTCTGGATAAATCTCCCTCAGCCCGGAACCTTCCTCAGGCCCTCCACCCTAACAGACTTCTCAGGAGGCACCCCAGCATCTCCTGGGCCTACAGAACCCTGCCCCTCACCACAGACCCCACGGACAGCCCCCAGGCCCACCCAGATCTGCAGCTTGATCCGTTTGTCATGGCGGTAGACAGTCTTGACCTTGAAGTCGATGCCCACAGTGCTGACGAAGGCCGGGGTGAAGGAGTCATCCGCGTAACGGAACAGGAAGGACGTCTTGCCGACGCTGCTGTTACCAATGAGCAGAAGCTTGAACATATAGTCGAAGTTCTGGTCCGCTGCATCCCGGGGGCCTGCGGGGGGCTCACCAGCTGACGCCATCGTGGCTGGGAGCCTCCTGAACAAATTCCTCAGCTAGGGAGGCAGGTACCCTGCAGGAGAGTTAAAAATTAAGCACCCATCCTGGCTCCTGCACATAGACCACCAGGCCTGGACTCCAGTCCTGGCTCCACTACCAAGAAGCGGGAGAAGCCTGAACACACCCTTGACCTCTCAGTACCTCAGTGTCCTCATCTGCAAAATGGGAATGTATGGGAGGTGCGACCTTCAAACAGTAGCTGATTCTACGCAAAAAAATCCCTTTCTTTTTTTCTTTTCCCCTCTATTTTTTTAAATTAATTTTAATGAAAGCTTACAAGGATTTAGGATTTCCAATCATTGTTGCACTTTTCTCCCTGCCCACCTCCTCCCCTGCAATTCACTCTTCTCCTTGAAAAGAAAAAACAAAACTCTTTCATTGTTATGCAATCCTTTCCCCCAAGTCCCCACTACTGTGCAGCCTTCATTCTGGACTCCTGTCATGACAATAATACCCAATCATATATCCCTTTTAAACCGTTCTCTCCCTCATCTGTTTCAATGCAGTAGACATCATTCCTCCCCTCCTCCTCAGTGTCCCCCCAACCCCGATGTCAGTCCTGTTTTACAACAGTGGCCCTATGCAATATTTGTCCTTTTGTGACTGAGATATTTCACTCAGCATAATGTCCTCCAGGGTCATAATATTTCATGAGTTCCTTGTTTTCAATACTGCTTAGTATTCCACTGTGTGAATATACCAGAATTTCTCTATCCATTCATTTTGTGATGGGCCCTTGGGTTGTTTCCAGCTCTTTGCTATTGTGAACAAAGCCGCAATAAACATGGGTGTGCAAAAATCCCTTTATTTCTTTATTCAGTCAAGACTTGCTGAGGGCCCATTCTGGATGGGGATTTGCTGCTTATGCAGGGACACAGCAATGAGGAAGGAAGGGCAAGTCCACCTTTGGGGTGATCACACTCAGGGGGAGATTATCAATAATACATATAATTGGCAGAAGACCCCAAAACCAGTTCCAACCCACTGCCAGTGGGTCAATTCCAACTCATGGTGACCCCCTCCCCCATTGAGTTTCCAAGTCTATACTTCTTTATCAAGGAGGACTATCTTTCTTCCTCAGAGCAGCTAGTGGATTCGAACCACCAACCACTTGATTAACAGCCCAACAAGTAACACACTAAGTCACCAGAGCTCCTTGGGCTTAAGACAGTGCCTGCTACACGTTAAGTACTCAGTAAACATGCCCAATGCTTAATCTTCACATTCTCCTGGGACAATTCAGATCTCTGCTTCAGGTGGAGAAATTGAGGCCCAGAAAGGTGACACCTGGCAGGTAGGTGCTCAGGTGGAGGACATAAGAAGGTATGAGCACCTCCTCCGGCCCAGGGGAACCAGGCTCTGCAGAAGGTGGACTTTGCCCCAGGGTGAGCGCTGGCTGGGCCCAGGAGTGAGTTGGGGGGGAACCCGCCAGCTGGATGGAGGTCCCCTCCCCCAGGCCAGTGTATTGACTCTGTCAGATGTCAGCCAAGGGGTGTCTGTCACTTGATGTCAAGTTTAACTCTTTTCTGGCCCCCTTGGGGAATGGGTTTCAGAATCAGCCCAGGTTCAAAGCCCAGACTCCACTCTCAAGTAGGCACTGCCATTTTCTGTTTGTTAAAAGGGCCGGTCCTGTGTCCATCTGGGTACAGCTGACTCACCCAGCCCCAGTCCCAGCCCCCCCAGTCCAGATGAGTCCTCGAATCCCAGGGAAACCACCCTGGCTCTCTAATAATCACATAACATCCCACACACACGCTGTCCTGGGTCCTTTCCTGGCAAGCTGCCCAGGCTAGGCTGGCAAAGGTGCAGCTGCCCACACACCAACATGTCGCCTCTTCTGGAAAAGGGCACCTGCTCAGCTTCCCCTAGTCCTCAGTTTCCCCATCTGTCCAGCGCCACTTCCTGGGCATGGGGCGGTTCCAGAAAATGCTTGTAAATGAAGGGCACCCAGGCAGGAACACCTGGCACGTCTATTTCCCAATCACCTTTAGGGCTTTTTCTCATTTTAAATGAGGACTCAGCCGGCCCCCCTTTCTACCCAACCCTTGCCCCACCCCCGGTTCCGGGAGAACGAGTTTGAGGGGAAGAGAAGCGGCAGGAAACCTTTCCCCATGCTGGGCAGGGCTGCAGACTGGGGCTGCAGGCTTGGGGGGCCCCCACCCCACCCCAGTCCCAGCCCGCCCGTCTGCCCACCATTTGACCAAGTCCCTAGGTCTGGCACTCGATAAGGGTCCCTCCCCACAGGGCTCGGCCCGCCACCTTCACTGGATTGGGGGGGGCCAGCCGGTGAAGGGAAGCTCAAAGCTCCCCCATCACCATATGGTCCCCTCTCTGGTCCCCAGCTGGGCCCTCCGCCTCGCCCGCGCCCCGTTAACACTCCCCGAGAAGCCCAGCTGGGTGGAGGCGGGGGAAGAGGTGTCGCCACCACCCCGCCTTTGTTCCCCAGCCCCCTCCAAGTCCTCCCAGTAACCCCCACCCCCCAGCCCCTCTGACCTGCAGGGACGCAGAGAGGCGGGGTGGGACTGCTCCCTCCCAGAGGGGAGGGGTCACCTAGAGTGAGAGGTCGCTGTTCTCCAGGAATTCCACCTCTGAACTTGAACTTGCCGGCGACCCCAGCCCCGCAGACTCCACCGTCGCCTGCAGCCACCCGGATCCCGAGCAGACACCGCCCAGACCCGGGAGGAGGGGCCGCTCCTGGAGAAGGCAGGGCGGGGCCTGAAGGAGACAGGTGGGCGGGGCCTGATGAGGCATGTGGGCGTGGCCTGAAGTCGGTAGGTGGGCGGGGGCTGTTGACGACGAGTGGGCAGGGCCTATAGTCGCATGGTGGGCGGAGTCTATCCTTTACAAGTGGGCGGGGATTGAAGTTGTCAACGCCCCCTCCTTCAATCACTTGACCTTTCCTGTGTTTCCTTCTGTCTCTGGTACAAGCGCCTCCCAACAACTATTTGGTGAAAGAGCCGTGTGGCATTCTGATGAAAACGAATGCCTGCTAACCTAAAGGCTGATATTTCCTCTGCTCTGCTAGCTTGTAGCTTGTTGCTTCTGTAAAGATCCAAAACCCTATGGGTTCTACTTTTGTCATTTTAGGGTAGCTGTAAGTCAGAACTGACTCAGGGCCTGGGTTTTGACTATAAATAGAGGTTTTCCTACATGCATACTGGTCGGGAGCTCAGACTCGGGGGCAGAATCCAAATCCGACCTCACTGCTTTCTAGCTCTGTGACTCTGGACATGCTATTAACCTCTCTGGGCTGCAGTTTTCTCAGCTGTCAGGTATGTAATAGTAGCATCCATCTCACAGGTTCTGGGAAGGTTCAGATTTGAGTTGGGGTTTGTAAAATGCAGCTACTGACCCTACAGTGGGCTGGACCCCCACTGCTCTCAAGGACATCCTTTCATGGATGAAGGCTGCCGTTAGAGATGTCATCACAGCCTTTCAAATCACCTACACTGTCCAGCATCTGAGAGCTGGACAGTGACTCAGGATGACAGAAGAATTGAGGCCTTTGAGCTGCGGTGTTGGAGAAGAGTATTGAATATACCACGGACTGCCAAAGAACAAACAGGTGTGTCTTGGAGAGGGTACGGCCAGAGTGCTCCTTGGAGGCAAAGACGATGAAGCTTCATCTCACATATTTTGGACATCTTTTTAGGAGAGGCTGTTCTTTGGAAAGGGACATCATACTTGGAAAAGTGAAGGGTCAGCAAAGGAGATGAAGAACTTCAATGAGATTGTGACCATGACAATGGACTCAAATGTGACAAGGATGAAAAGAATGGCACAGAGTTCAGATCTATCGTTCAGAGACCTCTATGTCTCAATGGCACTTAACAAGTGGTACAGTGATTAAGCACTCATCTGTGAAACAAGAGGTCAACAGTCGGAAGTTTGAACCCACCAACCCTTCCCTAAAAAGATGTGCAGTCTGCTTCCTTAAACGTTTACTGCCTTGCAAATTTCATGAGCCAGTCTGCTCCATAGGGTTTGTGTTATTGTTGTTAGATGCTGTCAAGACAGCTACAACTCACAGCTCCCCTCTGAACAACAGATTGAAACCTTGCCCTGTTCTGCTTCATTCTCAGTCTCTGCTATGGTTAAACCCATCATTACAGTTCCTGTGTCAATTCATCTCACCTACTTTTCCCAGCATGATGCTTTTCCCGAGGACTGGCATGGCCTGACAGCATGCCCAAAGGAAAGGAGACACAGTTTCACCATCCTCAGCTGTAAGGAGCATCCTGGTTGCACTTACTTCAGGACAGATTTGTTTGTACACATATGTTCACAGCAGCCTTATTCCCAACAGCAAGAAAATGCCCATCAACAAATGGATTGAGAGGTTGTGGTAAATTCACATGATAGAAAACTATACTATGCAGCACTAAAGGTGCAACAATTTCATAAATATAAGTTGGGAGAGACTAAACTAGACTAACATTATGCTGAGTGAAATATCTCAGTCACATAAGGACAAATATTACATAGGGCCACTTCTGTGAAACTAGGAAGATAACTGAGTAAGAGGTGTATAAATGTTCTAAAGGAAAAGAAAGGGAGGTAAAATAGGGGAAGGGGAGAAAAGTCATGGGGATAGCAGAGGTTAGTAAGTGGGAGGGTGAAGTAGTGGGAAAGGTTCAATGAGGGCTTGAAAAGATGGAGCGATAATTGTGGTGGTTATTGTTATGTGCCCTTGAGTTGGTTGCAATTAATAACGACCCTATGTACAACAGCCCTGAAACCTGCTCTATCCTAAGCCAATCTTATTGTCTCTGACACATCTATACTCATTACCCCAGTCACTGAATCAACCTATCCCATCGAGGGTCTTCCTCTCTTGCACTCTTCGTCCATCCTTCCAAGCATGTCTCTCTCCAAGGACTGATCCCTTCTTGTAACATGCCTAAAGTATGTTCACCAAAGCCTCAGAATCCTTGCCTCCAAGAAGCAGCCTGGTTTCACCTTCTCTAGGATGAACCTGTTTGTTTTCCTGGCAGTCCATGGTATGTATGTTCAATATTCTTCTCCAGCACCACAGCTCAAAGGCATCTATTCTCTTTCTGTCATCTCTAGTCATTGTCCAGTTTTCTGACACATAGCAAGTAATTGAGAAGCCTATGGCCTGGATCAGATGCACCTTATTCTCCAGACTGTTATCCTTACTTTTCAGTATTTTTGAGAGGTTCCTGACTGCAGACTTTCCCGATGCAATTCAAAATTTTGATTTCCTGGCTATTGGTATCAAGAGTGATAATAGGCAATGGTAATAATTATATAAAATGCAATGTATATGATGACAATCATTCAGAACAAGAAGTGTATTGCAAAATGGACTAGGGGTGGGGAGGAAAATGTGCAACAATGAATGAATGAAAACCCAATATTTCTGTAAACTTTTTGGGAGAACAAACAAGTTCATCCTGGAGAGGGTAAAGCCAGGCTGCTCCTTGGAGGTAAGGATTCTGAAGCTCCGTCTGACATACTTTGGACATGTTGCAAGGAGGGATCAGTCCTTGGAGAGGGACGTCATGCTTGGGAGGGTGGAGGGACAGCGTAGGTGAGGAAGACTCTCGATAAGATGGATTGATTCAGTCACTGGGGTAATGGGGATAGGTGTGTCAGAGACAATAAGGTTGGCAAGAGATGCAGCAGGTTTAGGGCTGTTATACATAGGGTTGCTGAGTCACAAGTGACCCAATGGCACATAACAACAACAATATATGAAGGTATAAACATAAAATGCATGTACAAAATGCAATATTTATGCATGATTATATACAAAATAGAATTATTTTTTTAAAAAATTTGTACTTTTGGCAGTCCAAGCAATAGTCAAGTCTCCATAGGACTGGAATTTACTGGAAGGCAATAGGTGTGGTTAGTTTTCATGGATCAGGAAACCACATTCAGAGCAGTGCAGTTCCTCCCCTGAGGACACACAGTGGACGTGACATCCAACCACAGCAGTACTGTCTTCAATCCAGCAGGAGAGGATTTACAGTTACAAGCATGTAGGTTTTGCTGGAGCAAACCTCAATGCACCACAAGCAGCCTGTTGTACTGCCCTTCCTGCGCGCCCACTGCCTCATGGGAACTGCAGCTGTCACCACGGCTGACATGTGGGTGAACTTAGAGAAGCAGTAACAGTCAGGAAAGGCTGGGTTATGCGACAGTAACAGGTGACTCCAGTCTCCATGGTACCCAATAGCGCAAGTTTGCTTCTCATTTACCCTGGTTGCTATGGTGATGGGGAAATGTGGCAAATCATGCATAGGCTCTTGACATCTTTCTCTGGAAGGGATGCCTCTGCCTTTGTCCAAAGTAAATCACACAGTGACACCTTGACAGCAGTGGGGTGCAAACAGGACTGTCCCCTAAGATGGGAACCAGCTATCGGGACAATGACAGATGGTGTGATGACAGGCGGCTAATCAGTGGATCGCAGGAAGGGCGGAAGCAATCAATGATCCACATCGCTATGCTGTGTGAATGGGGAAACTGAGGGTCTCGGTTCCTCTCTTGCCCCTTCCATCCCTTGCTTCTCAGGCCAAAGATGACAGCAGTCACTTCCAAGGAAGCTTTTATTGATACTCAGACCAGAATCTCAGATACTCAGGCAGGAGACGTGGAGGTCAAAGGTGGTTGAGGCTCAGGGCGAGGCCAACCAGGCAGAAGCCGTTGCTCAGGAGGCAGCCCAGGTTGCACAGGTTGGAGAAACCATGGTAACGGAAGAAGATGCGGCGGAGGCTGCTGTACTTGGGGTCCTGCTCTCGGAGCTGGTGGTAGGGGTGAGGACCCTCGCGGCTGCTTGGCATCTCCCCGCCCAGGCCCCTATCCTTCTCCAGGGCCTGCATGGCCCACATGGCAGCGGTGGTTCGTGGCTCAAGCCACCGGGCGTTGATGACTGCTAGCAAGAGGCACAGGAGCAGCAGACAGAACTGGAGGAGGTGGCAAAAAGGGGGACAGGGTGAGTCAGGCCTGGGGGGCCCTAGCAGGAGCCCCTCTGCATCCTCAAAGCCGCCCAATGTGGGATGGGTCCTTCCTATGCCTTCTTACCCCAGAAAAAGGACTCCAAAGGCAAAGTTCTAGCTCTTGTCCCATGAAACTGGCACTCCCTTAAGAAAATCTGTCTCTTCTATTCTATTCCTCAGAGACCTTTTTGAGGTCTTTCTCCTCTGATCCCCAGACTGGAAGTCCCAGCCTTATCCCCTCTGCTCCAGCATCCCCAAATTGAAGGCATCTAAGGACAGAAATTCTGCCTCCAAAATTCAGAGAAAGTACCATATCTGATCTCTCTGAGCTCCCCAAACAGGGAACCTGAGAAAGGGCTTGTTTCCTCTGGGGCTCTAACCCAGTCCTAAAAGCCAACAACAGGCCCCCAGGGAGTGAATAAACTGTGCAGTTCCAGTTACCCATAATCCTCTCCTGTCTCTGTGGGATTATTCGTAACACACCTGTCAGGTCTCACCTGCCCATATATGAGGAACATAATGGGGACAGGGAAAATGCAAGGTAGAGAAATAGGAGATGCCACCATGTTCCTGTGGCTGAGGGTATGTGTGAATGAATGTGGGGAGTGAAGGGAAGGGGGAGACAATCTCCTAGTCAGGCTAGTTTTTAAACAATGAACTGGGGTCAGTGTCACAGTCCAGCTGAGTCACCACTGCTTGGCAAGAGGCCTAGTGGGAGGAGAGTAGACACTGGTAGAAAGACAGGGTTGCAGGAGACAGCTAAGCAGGCTACACACTGCTCAAGGGAGTTCAGAGCTCAGCTTTGTACTCGCCAAGAAAAAAAGATATCTTTAAAATTTAAAAAAAAAAAAGAGTGCAAAGGTGTGACCTAGATGCTTATTGGAGTCCTGGGGATGAGTCTCCAAAAAGTGGTATCTCCTCCATACATTCTCCCATACCTGGCTGGTCTCCCAAAATGTGAGCTGGGCCCAGGTAAGCTGTGAAACCAAGATGCCAAAGTTGACGAAGGCACAGACCATACAGATGTGAAAGTAGAATGGGAAGAGTTTGCTCTGCACGAGGCCGAAGGTATGCCGAGGCAGGGCTGGGAAAAGCAGGAAGCCTGCAGATGCAAGGGGCATACACGTTAGAACGCTCCGGGGGCCTGTCCCCAACCCGAGTTCCCACGCCTTCTGGCTGAGTGAGGGTCCTTACCTGAGACGAAGGTTATCCACATTTGCATGCCCCAAGCCCCTGACAAGACCAGCAGATAGATCACCTTAGTCAGGCCTCCCGGATCCCTGGCTTCATCCATCGCACAGCCTGGAGAGGAAGCACAAGGTAGTTGGCATTCAGTTCTGAGTAGATCGCACCTATCGAACAGAGATGTCCAAGGAGCCGCCCAGAGCTCGAAGGACGTCTCAGAGGACAATCCCTGACCCAATCTCACCAAAGCCCACATCTCAAGGGAACAGGCCCTCTGGAATCCAACATTCATACCACCCCAAGACCCCCAAAGTCCCACCCTGAGAGCTAAAGGTCCAAGGTCATCAGTCCCCTGGTCAACCTTCAAATCTCATGAAGACCCAGTTCTAACACCAAAGATCCCTGCTCTCTAAATTGGACCCCTGATGGCACCATCATTAAACCTCCAACCAATGCTGGGCAGCTTCAAATCTCAACCCGAGAACACCAACTCCACTGCTCGAAAAGCGAACCTCAACTTGTAGCACTTGGAGGAAGAGACCAGAGACGTCGATGACAGACTTCAGAGGTCTAGTGCGTTGAACTGGGTACCTTCTCCCCTGCTACGCTCCTCCCCCGTCCAGTGTACCGCCCCTTAAATATTGACTAATCGATCGGCAGAACTCAGCCTGAGATCCCGCCTCCAGGTCAGGTTCTTATCCAATGACGTCTCAGCCCCTAAAAGCAGCGGAAGCGGGACGTCCCCAATGAGGCCTTTGGCTACAACGGCGGGGGCGGAGCCCAAATCCCAGCCACGCCCCTCTCTGTGACTGCGGCTTCAACCCTGTCACATTTTAAAGCGATGGGGTCTCATCAGGATCAAATTTCAGTGTCACAGCTAGGGACTGGTTTCGCAGTCCCTGATGGGAAAGCATGAACAGGTGGTACGTGATAGATGGCAGGTGGGGGTGGAAGCCGGCTTGGAAGTTCCGTCAGCACGGGATTCACAACCTGGGGACGGGCCCAGGATGTTGACTCCGCCCCTTCCCCTAAAGAATTCTCCCTGGAGGGACAGCGTTAAAGTGGAAGGAGATTATTGTGAGAAGGGGGACACTGGGTGGAATTTACCTGCTGTTGACGCTGGCAAACACCCTGTTCCTTTCTTCTCCAAACCTCCCAGGACTCATGGCCTCCAGGTCCCAAGTTCTCTCCCTGAACTACAAACAATGAATCCCTTCCGTAGGCCAGCGACCTAGTACGGTGGATACTGTCTACCAACTCATTTTCCTAGTTGAGGATACTGAGGCAAAGCTAGAAATTAAACCCAGGCCATCTCTGTGCTTCACCGTTGGACTCTGCTGCCTCTGGAAGTGAAGGCTTAACTGAGGCAATGAGTCTTAAAAGGGTAGCCTGAAACATTCCAGGCAAGAGAGCCATGGTGCTGGGTGGGTGGGAAGAACCAGTGAGATCCCAGAGTGATGCCTAGCACTCAGTAGGAGTGCAGTAAAAACGAGCTTTAAAAAGGATTAAGAGGAAACTGTTAAAATCTGTTCATGCAGATGCTGAGTGGGGTTTTGATGGGTGTATAGGAGTCTGCCAAGGCTGAATGGGCTAAGGAAAACACAACAGAAGAGGGCCCCACAAAAGCAGCAGAAGAGAAAGGTCTGGAGGGTTTGATGAACCCTCTGAGGTTCACTTGGAGGTTTTGCCACGTCTGCCTGCCTGCTCCAGATTTTTCCATGTGTGCCAGCCTTGACTACCTTGAAGAGGGTTTGGTGATAATGTGAGGCCCAGCTCTTTTGTTCCCAGCCTTGCCTGGCACAGGCCTGGCCACCTAATCCAGCAAGCGTCCATTGAATAGATAGACTTTGTCCTCATGGGTCACACTTCCTGACCCTTGTTCATCTGTGAGGCTGAGTTCCCCACTCAGCCTGTACCCCAGTGCCTTGCCCAGCTGCCCTACTGACCTGGGTCCTTTGGGGCAGTCTCCTGCCATGCCATCCTCAATTGACCAGCAAGGGGTACCACCCTTCCAAGCCTTTGCACTTGCTGTTCCCTGCTGGAAAAGCCCTTCCTTTAAGGCCTCATGTTAAGATCCTTTGGGGGGGCTCTCTCAGAGCCCTCACTTCCTTTGGTGGGGTCTCCTGGGTCCTTCTCACCAACTCTAAGGTTGAAATAATCTTTCCAGCAGCGTCAGCTCCTGTAGTGACTGAGAGGCCCCGTGTTCCAGGCTGAGGTCTCTCTAGGGTGTCAGGCAGGATCTGGGTTGCTGGAACCTGGAAGCTGCTGGTCTCAGAGCAGCCCTCTCCACTTCTTGCAGTGACCCTCTCCTGGCTGGCCTACCCCGGGACTCTGACTACATTGGAAACGGTCCCAGCTCCTCTCCCCCGCCTTCCAACGCGTTTTTTCCTGCTGACAGGAAGTGTGATAAGTTCTGGGGTTCGTTGAGGGGCCCTGTTGGGACTGGGAGGGCTGAGGGTGTGAGGGGCACTCCAGTCTCCCCCTAAACAAAGCCCTCATGCCCAAGTTCTTCCTCAGATAAGACCGGGGACTGTCCACCTCATTGGGCCAGGACCTCTAATTCGGAGACCTTGGTGGGGCCTGAGGCTTCTGAGAAGACAGGGGCGTGTGTGGCCTGGAGGCCAGGCTGGGGCTCAGTGGATCGACCACAAAGGTCTCATTTCTGCCTGGGCTCAGACTTGATGAAGGAGAGCTGTAATCAACAGGACCTTCCGAAGAGGCATCACCAACTCGCCAAGGTTACACCCTGCCAGGGAACCTCTCCATTGCCCCCACCCCAAAAATTTGCCATTGTGGTGCTGTTGGGAGGCAGGCTGTAGGAGCAAGCCTGGCCCTCACTGGCAAAGGTCCTCTGTGGATGCGTGAAGGAATAGCACCAGTGATGTGTAACTGTGGTTTTCAGCCTTGTCTCTGGGACGACTTTCCCCGGGGCTATAATTGCGGTTGTGTGTTGGATATTGTGTGAGTGACTTGCGACTGGAGCGAGTGGGTGGGTGCAGCTGAGGTTGAGGGACCGTGTTCCGGTGGGTCTTGGTGGCTGTGTGACTGCTGTTGGCTCTCGCTGTAGATGATGGGGATGTAGTTTGTCCCTAAGGAGGAAGAGGGACAGATTGAACCCCAGGCAATGACAGGGCCAGCGGCGTTGAGTCCACAGGCCTGCCCACATCTGGAAAAAGTCAGGCAGCTGTGAGTGCAGGCAGACACACCAAGGTGCCCGTGTGACTGAAGGTGGCTCTGTCTTCCTGGGGCCTGGGACACCCAGAGTCCAGTGCACCCAGCTAGTGTCCAACCACCCAGACGGGATTGGGGTGAGCAGGCAGACCACTCGGGGACAATACCACTCCCTATTTGTTCCCCTCCCTTAGAAGTCCTTGGATACCAACAATTACAAGGTCAAAGGTGAGAACACCTCTCCCAACAAAGCAGCTACTACTCCCGCCCTACTCCCATCCCAACCCTCTGCCCTATGACCAACTGCTCTGGCTTTGATAAACAAATGCCCCTGGCCTTGACCTCTTTCCCCCATCCCCAGGGAACTCTGCCCCCTACCTTGAACCCTGCTGGGATGCTGAGCTTCCGCTTTACCTCTACCCTGACCTTTTCACCGGCTCCCATCCCTCCCAGCCTCAGTTGACCCTCACCTCTGCCCCCAGCTAAGTCAACCACCATGATCCCTGATGCCCAGAAGCAACTGAGGTTTGAACTGGAGTCACTCAAGAGTCAGCTACAGGCGCAGACCAAGGTGAGTGACCTCGCCCTGGCCTCCAACAGCTGCAGCCTCATCAGTCCCCATTCCAGCCCCAGGTCTGACCTCTTCCCCACTAGGCCTTCGAGTTCCTTAACCACTCTGTGACCATGTTGGAAAAAGAGAGCTGCTTGCAGCAAATCAAGATCCAGCAGCTTGAAGGTAAAGTCCAGGGTCAAAGTTAGGTTGGATGCCTAGTTCTGTTGTTGGCTTAGGCCAAAAAGAGGAGTTGAGGCAGTCTGGGGTCAAAGTCAGGGTCAAGTTCAAAGCTGGGATCAGGCTGGGCACTGGGAAGGTCAGAGTTCAGTGAGGCCTGCCTGCCACCACCCACAGAGGTGCTGAACCCCGTGATGTGCCAGACACAGAAGGATCTGCACAAGTGGGGCCTGGAGCAAGGTCGGCAGGAGCTGTTCAGGGCCCTGGCCCAGGGTCTACAGGGACTACAGAAGACCCTGCAGGACAGTGAGGAGGTGCAGCAGGCCCGCACCACCCGCTGCCTGCAGCTGCTGGCCCAGGAGATCCAGGACAGGTGGGCCAGGCAGGAGGGCAGACCTGGGCAGGGAGGGAGGAGTCCCACCAATGGGCGAGGGAAGTGGGGCCCACCTAGAGAGAGGAGATGAGGGTGGTGGAAAGAGACTGGAGGAGTAGATGGGGGCTTGGAGGAGATAGGAGGCTAGGGTGGAGGGAACACTGGGAGGCCAGAAGGCAGGAGGCGAGGATATGGGAGGATGGAGACCAGAAGGAGATCAGGGTAGAGGGTGAGTAGTAGCCTGAGTGGGAGGGTGGGCAAGGAGGGAGGGGACGAGGCTGGGGGGAGTCAGGAGCTGACCAGGGGATGCCGGTCCAGGCCCTACTGTCCCCTCAGCAAGAAGTTCCTGTGGGAGGAGCTGGAGCTGGTTCGAGAGGAGGTGACCTTCATCTACCAGAAGCTTCGTGAGTATCCGGAGCCCCCAGCCAGGAAGTGGGGTGGGGGGGGTCCTCCTTCAGCCCTGGTCCCCCTGAGTCCCTTTTCCCCACAGAAGCTCAGGAAGAGGAGATCGCAGAGAACCTGGTGAACATCAAGAAGATGCAGAAGACTCAGGTGAAGTGTCGCAAGGTGAGAGGAGAAGCTGGGAGCATGGGAGGTAGGGGCCGGGGGGGTCCTGTGGGGTCCCCATCAAACACTAGAGCCACCCGTCTGGGCTCCAGTCCCAGCTCCTGTGCAGGTCATTTCGTCTCTCTGGGCCTTAGTTTCCTCATCTGTGTGATGAGTATAATAGGACCCATCTCTACCAATTACTCCGCATTCAGTTCACTGTGGCTGGACGCCCTTGAGCAGGCTCCGATTCACAGTGACCATATGTACAACAGAAAGAAGCATGGCCGATCCTGCACCATCCTCACAGTCATGGTGTTTCAAATCACTGGTGCAGCCACTGTGTGCATCTCCTTGATGGTCTTCTTTTCTTCACTGACTTTCTATTTTACCATACATGACATCCTTCTCGAAGGGCTGGTCCCTTATTTTTGTTGTTGTTAAGTTTTTGTTTTGTTTTGTGTGTGTACCATCAAATCAGATCTAACTGGTACAGGAGAAGATTGCCCCTCCTTCTCCAGCCGAGCATCTGGGGGATTTGAACCACTCACCTCTGGGAATGCAGTGCAGCTTCTTGCCACTAGGCCACCAGAGCTATTTTATTTTATTTCATTTCATTATTGTATTTCATTTCATTGTGTGTGTGTGTGTGTGTGTGTGTGTGTGTGTGTTTTTACCATCAAATCAGATCCAACTGGTACAGGAGGAGATTGCCCCTCCGTCTCCAGCAGAGCATCTGGTGGATTCGAACCGCAC